AAGACTGAGCAATGATTCCAGGTTGAAGGAGACAAAGACACGACTACTAACTACCACGTGTGAATCTGAGCCAGATATTTTTGCTAGTTTGGTGGTTTTTTGAGAAGTCTTTGTAATATAGACAATATAAACAAATGTTTTTACTAAGCTTAAAGTTTGGGGGCATAATAAACATCATCTCAGATGGGTCAGAAAAAAAAAGTTCTTTGTCCTTGCAATTTGTGCCTGCAATTTTCCATAAGTTAAAAAGTGTTCCAAAATTTAAAAATTTAAGGATTATTGAATATAAGGAAAAAGTAACAATAAGAATACTCTTGCCATTTTCTAAGCAAAAAATGAAGGTGGTAGAAGTGGAGTTGGTCAAAGTGTTAGAATTTAGAATATATTTTAAACTTGGAATGACAAGACTTTCTGGAGTTTTGTCCTGAGCACCTGGATGAATAGTGGTGCAATTTAGGGATAGAGAAGACTGTGAGAGATGGAAAGTACTGAGGATGGAGAATGATCTGTGGCTGCTTGGTGCACTACTACAAAACAGTGTCTTAAAATAAATAAAATATTTGTTTATTAGTATCAACTTGAGCTTAGCTTTATGGTTCTTCTGGGTCATTCCTGGGCTAGACTGGGGCTGGATAATTCCAAATGACTTCACTCACATGTGTTTTCCCTGAACTAGATGGTTGCACTTGCAGGGTCTGGCTGGGGTTCTTCCTCTCCTCATGCTAACTCCAGCAGGGTACTGCACTTCTTTACATGGTGGCTCACTAACTCCAAGAAAGCAAAACAGAAGCATTATATTCATTAAATCAAGCTACAGGGCCAGCCAAGATTTAAGTAGACTCCAACCTTCAATGGAAAAAGTGATACATATGCACAGGGATAGGAGGAATTATTGGTGGCTGTTTGGGTAAGCTTTTCATCACCATGACCAAAATACCTGACCATAACAGGTTAGAAGAGGGAATATTTTTGGCAACTTATAGTTTCAGAGGTCTCAGTCCATAGACAGCCGACTCCATTACTCTGGGCGTAAGGTGAGGTAGAAGGGTGAAGGAGAGGCTCCATTCATGGCAGCCAAAAAACAGTGGGGAAGGAGTCACAGACAAGATGATGCCTTCCAGGCCACAGCCCCAGTGACCCATCTCTTCCAGTCATTCCCCTGCTGCCTACAGTTACTACTCATTCCTTTCACACTAGGATGGACTGATTAGGTTATAGCTCTCCCAATGCAATCATTTTTCTTCCAAATATTCTTGCATAATGCAGGAGCTTTCGGTAGGGGACACCTCATATCAAAATCATAACAGTGGCCATCTTTGTGGACAATCTACTACAACCATGCTAAAGTTTCAGGGGCTTCTCTAAGACATTGAAGTATGAAATTAGATAAAGCAGTTTGGTCTACTAAACTGGACTGATTTTATAAATGTTTGAATTAACATAAATAAGTATTTAGAGCCATTAGACTTGGAAAGTTCACTTTGAAAAGTAGGGTAGATAAAAAAGA